TGTTGTTGTTCTGCCTTTCATATGTTTTTGTATCTTTCTTATCTTATCTTATCTTTTGATCTTTCTTATCTTCTTAGCTCTGATTTTATGTCTTGAATCATGTTAGCTGATCCCAAACTCTTTTGGGACTAAGGCTTGGATGTTGTGTTTGGTTCAGAGGCTCTGCATCATACTAATGTTTCTCTTTTTGTTAGTAATAGACTACGAATTATTTTTTGGCTTAGGAATATGATGGAATAAAGCAAAATGACTCACTAAGCTGTTTGTGCTTCTTTGTTATGAAGCATCAGTCTGTCCATGCAATTTTCGAAGCGATTCTCACTTTGGGTCATCCGGAAACATTCCCTATGCTTTAATACAGGGGTAAGGTTGGTAGTTGCAAGGTTGCGTACATCTGACCCCCTACCCGACCGTAGGGGGAGCCTTTGCGGCACTGGAGTAATGATGATAATAGTGATGATATATATTATTGGTTAGATCATGCATTTATATACAGTTTTTTATCTTGGCTTTATTTGTGATGATCTGAATGTAGAAATAATTTAAAAATGTGTTGGTCTTCCCTTTCCCTCTCTTCCGAAATCCCTGAACCAAACAAACCCTTAAGGAACCATGTTCGTGATTCGTCTCCCTTATTTAGAACTAGATAGCTTACTTGGACACCATTATCACCATCCAGTGTCATAGTCAGGCCAACTCACTATAAGAATGGGTGGTGGTGGTAACATCATTTGACTCCATAAGGAATCTAATTTTGGGAGTGGTTATTACTTGACTAGAGCCAATCTCTTAAGAATTGAACACTTGTGTAATACCCTACAGACAATGATTTTGTACTGAAGCCACATATATATGATTTTACTTGTGTGTGTTATATTAGGTATTGACTTATCAGAAGCAAAAGAGATGCCTTTGATAGGAAAATATAGATTTCATCAATTATTTCAGGTACAAATCAGTCTTTTTCTATGAAATTCAAGCTTAGCCAAGTAATTATCATGGAGTCCCTCTTATTCAGCATGCATTGTCAAAGATAGACTTACAATTCCTAAATATGTATTCTCTTAATATGACCTAAATCACTAAATGCAAATGTAAGCTTTTTTAAGCATAATATTTAGGTGTTTTTATTCATCTATAACTAACTTGATATTCGCCACTTGGTAAAATCATTATATGAATTGTGTCATATATACCAATAAGAGATGAAAATTGAATGAAAGCAAATATTGCAACAAATCATAAGAGAGGCAGTCACATAGTTCCTTTTTTACCTGTGGCATAAATATCTGGAATGTTCCGAACGGTGCTCAGAAACTGATCTTGCAAATTATTTGCGAAATTCTCAGCATGCCCATAGCAAGGCACCAACACAGCAAAGCTATCATCTGATTCATCATCACCTTGAAACCCAGAACCGTGAGGTTCCATCCATCCAATTGACCAATCAGAATCATCAGACTCAGACCCAGACACACACCCACCGTCAGATGGAACAAGAACAATATCATACTCTTTGTCAATCTTCCTCTCCTCTCTGCTGCTCCATTTTCTCTTGACCCTTCTAGAAGTATATTGTCTACGGTCAAGAGGAAACTTCACTTTATCTGATTCCCACAGTCCAGATTCAGGCAATGGACTTAAAGTAAATTTGGGTTCTTGGTGTTTCCCACTCCATGGCCACCAAGACAAAGAGGTGAATGCTATAGCCATTCTCAATAGAGAACCCCAAATCCAATTCTCAGTGTTCAAAAAGAATTAAAACTCAACTTAAGATGGCTAAATCAATCAAAAGATTCTTTTCCCTGATCCAAGAAATTAATAATTTAGATTAGAGAGAGAAATGGCATTCCTTTGTGCTATACCAAAAAGAAAGAAAAAAAACATAGTTACAGACCAAGCACACCATGACTAAATACATTGAAGCAGAAACCAAGCATGAATCATTGGTGGGGTGGGAGTGGGCAGGATTGCGGGAATAAACATAAGGAGGGGTAGATCAAAGGGCCCAAATGCTACTTGACAAAAGCTCCAACTTCATTCAAGGAAATACATACCATTTACTGTTATAAGTCAAATGCATCCAACTTGGCCCTAAAAGTACAAAACTACGGCAAAATAAGCATCACCATAAAACATGGCAGAAGATGGAAAACAAGGGCCTAAATGTTGACCAAAAATATCTCTTTCTTGTGAAATAAAGCACAAATCGAAATTTCTTTTTTTATTTAGCTTTTCTAATCACAAGGCATGTTTCTCACAATTTGACGAAGCATTAGCTAGATAACTCGACACAGCTCCCTTTTCAGTGGAAAAGATATTAATTAACCACGAATTTTAGCCCATGAAGGAATTAAATCCGTTTTACCATTAAAATATTAGCCAACAAGAAAACAAGAGATAGTAAAGTAGATAATATGTATGTACAAGAGGTAGAATGGTAGACAGAAATATAGACAGATGCAACAAAAACTTTTTTATAAAAAACGATAAAATCTCCAACCTGGGTTTTACAAAACAATCACAGTACTTTTCCTTAATAACATATGCTAATTCAAACGGTAGCCACCGGAAAACAGGAAATCGTGTGCGAACGAAATAACCTTTACGGGAAAAAATGGAGAATGAAGAGAGGAAGTGCTAAGCGCTCACACATTTACCTAAACGGGGATCGGATTTGGTGCTTCTAAAAGAGAGGAAACTGAAAATTAGAAGAGAGCGGAGAAGTGAAGAGAAAGGTTAAAGGATTGGGATGAAGCGGGCGGGGCGATGAATGCTTATTCAGAACTTCACAGAAACCTGAACTCCTTACCGAGACCAGATATTACGGGGTTGAATTGTACACTCCGTAATTATTGAGGAGTACTACGATTTTCAGGAGATCTCACCTTCATTTTTTGTAAGCATATTAGTTAATTAGTTATTACGGAGTAATTTATACTGTAATAATTAGGGAAATAAACAATGACAATACATTCACACTACACATGTTTTAATGTGAATTTATTTCTCCAGACCATATCAAATTGAATTAGACCAAATTAGACTAGATCAGATTTCAGTAGTTATAGAATACATAAAGATAAACATTTATCAAACAAGATACATAAATTGACGAGTACCTTGTTCGAATGAATGATTGTGATTGAGTGTATATATTTCAGGGATCCACACCAAATGATCCTGGATAACAGCCCTAGTTCTCCACCTAGCAGGTTGAGGCCCTATGTCGAGGTCGAGATCTCGTCATAAACCAGCTCTTCGATAGCAAGTCCATTCTGCTCCGGACCAAGCTACTCGATCCAACATGGTAGAACCCGACGATTGCACCGTTGTGTCAGACGAGGTTGAGCGAACCTAATCCATCTCAGCTAGGTAGCGATTTCATGCTTGGTAATTTTTCGGACGTTCCAGACATTTGCATATCCAGGGTTTACGTCACCGTTGCTCACACAGACGTCACAGGCTTAGGTCTTAGCATCTCAATAACATCATTGGGTCTATTTTCAAGGTTGACACCGCATCAGCATGGCATGAATTGACGTGTTCCCCAAGTACTTTTGCGACACATGTAGCTCCCTCACTAGCTTAGCGTTTTGAGCTTAAGACCAAGCTTGTTATTTTTGCTTATAAATAGCCACATTTTCCCGTGAGGAAGGGCTTGAAAATTTATTGTACTGTTACTCTGCATATATATTTATTACACAATTTTCTTACTCAAGATTTGCCTCAGCTTCTTTCTAAGTTTATTACTCTAAATATTTTACACCTACTACCTTTGATACTTAACCCGTCATGTTGATATTGACTGGATTTAAAATTAATCAGCTCATTTGAATCGTTACTAATTGTAACATTTCAATTTAGCACTTTAATTTATCGCAAGCTTCTGTAGATTGACTTTACACTTTCGTTTTTCAAATTTTATCTTGTTACGGAGTATATTATACGGAGTAACATTTACTTTTATGCTAGTTCTACATTTTAGTCGTTACTTTACTTACTTATGCTCAATGTTCTAAAAGACGTTAGGCGCTAGTCAAGCGCCAATCCAGCGCCTAGCGGTTCGGCGGGCGCCTAGTCGGGGACTAGTCGGAGACAAAGAAATTGCATTTTTATCTATATTTTTGCATAAATATGATAAGTAGTATTGTATTTTTGTGTGTATAAATACATATATGCATATACATTAACAAACATGAATGATAGAATTATCACATTTAATCATAATTCATACGTAGTATATGATAACTAAGCACTTAACTTCATTGTGTTATAAATATAAATAATGATGAACTTTAGGTATATATAGAAACATATATAGCTATCTTAATTTACAACTTCAGTTCTTTATATCCATGGCTAACGCTAAAGTACGTATATCGTTTAGAAAACTGAAATTAAAAAGTAAAGTAATAATGTCTGGCGAATCTAGACAGCCTAGACGGCTGATTAGGCGCTCTAGGCGGGCAACTAGGCGTCATAGGCGGCCGACTAATTCACCTAGACGGCAAACCCATTAGTCGGAGCGCCTAGACGAAAATCAGGGCGCCCGACCACCGCCTAGCGCCTAGGCGGGGACTAGTCGGACGCCTAGACCGATTTTTAGATCAGAGCTTATGCTATGTCATCAAACAAGTCTACTTCATTGAGGTAAAATTTCAATTTCAACAACTTTTTATCTAACTTCAGACAATAATCACTAAATCAGATCATAGACAATATATAGCTTCATCTTGTTTTTTCAAACTTAACCACAGTACACTAGTGAAGTTAGTTGAAATTTAGCTCAGAAGTTGGAATATTAATATTAACTCAACCTATCTTGTTAAAATTAGTTATGATTTCCTTTTTGGAATATATTTAAAAGTTTGTTACACGTATTTTACTGTTGGTAAGTTTTTCCTTTAAAATTATGATATTATCCTTATTATTTGTTTGTTATCTTCCTTTTCATATTTTTGGCGCTATCTCACTTATTTTTTCACACTATTCATTACCCGGTATTAATTTTCTCTTTAATAATATCTTTTATTGGTTGCATTGTTTATGCAATTATGCAAAAGTGATTCTCAGCAAGTCGAATCATTGATTGAAAAGTGTACTAAATCACGTGTGTTGCTCTTAATAATACGATAGAGATGTGGCATTTAACTTCAAGTGAACTCCTGCTGGAATCACCGGTTCGGACTCCCCTGCCACTGGACCCACAGATACTATTGTTACTCCTTCCATGGAAGCTACTGAACCTGAAAACACTAGTGAACACCAGGAGCTAGTCTTGGGCCGAGGACAAAGGCATAAGACTCCCTCGGTCCGACTCAAGGACTACGTTACACATACAGTAATAAAAAACAGTCCATTCCCTGTTCATTCTGCTCCATCACCCTCTTCAGGTACGCCGTTCCCTATAACTCATTATATTACTTGTGATGCTTTTTCTCCCAAACATCAAGCTTACTTGGCAGCTTTACACTCTATAACGGAACCACATTCTTTCCAAGAGGCTGTCAAAGATGAAGGGTGGCGGACTGCCATGCGTGCTGAGATTCAAGCTCTCGAAAAGAATGCTACTTGGAGTCTGGTTACACTACCTCCCGGCAAACGGGCACTGGGGTGTAGATGGGTCTATAAAATTAAACATAAATCTGACGGTAGCTAGGGCTGTGCACCGGGTCAAAACCGGACCGGACCGGTCCGGAACCGGTCCGGAACCGGAACCGGTTCTTGAATAATTAGGGAACCGAAAACCGGTCCGGATTATATCCGGTTTTAGCCGGAACCGGACCGGTCCAATCCGGTTAAAAACCGGACCGGTCCGGAAAACCGGTACTATACAAACAACCTGCAATTTTGCTTGTGCCAAACTAAGTATAATCTGGAAATTGGAATGTGCAAAAAGCGGTACTAAATAGGATTGCTCGAGTGTTTTCATGGACATTCTGAGTCTTTGACTGTTCACATTCAACAACCGTTTGATAGCAGCAAGCCAACAACCGGTATTAAAAAGCAATGATCAACAACAACAAAAATTCAACATAAAAATTCAACAGCAAAATATAAATAGTTCAAAAAGTTCACAATAAACAACTTCATCAAAGTATTTAGACTGTGACAGTTTGAAATATAAATAGTTCAAAAAGTTCACAAAAAACTCCACTTCAACACAAAGTATTTAGACTTTGACATTGTAGATATAGAATTCCACTCTTCATATTCAAGTCACATAAACAACTTCCTCCATAAAGCTATCCATGTCTTCCACATCTACATAATCACACAAAATCTATATTAGCAATTTAGCATTTTAAAATCTATATTAGCAATCCGTGTCTTCCACAACTAAACAACTATTAGCATTTTAATGCCACTTTGGTTTATATACACAGAATATTTGTCTGGGACTCTGGGGCAACAAAGCCAGCAATGATGAAATTTTGTTGCCCTTTTGGTGAACCAAACATGTGCCACTTTGGATATTAAAATTTAACACAGAATACTATATACATAAAGTTACAAAATCCACAAAAATCAATGTTACTATGTACAAATTGTATATTACATATAATAGGCATCAACCCAAGAACGTAAAAAAACTAGTTTGTAAAGTGCAGACTGCCCTAACTTAGCCACATCCCTCTTATAAGTTTATTTACTCACATGTAATTTTTTTTCAATTAACGAATTTTTTCATATAATTTTAATTACTTACTTATGCATTGAATCTTTCACAAATTTTCAAATGGAAAAAACACTTTTCATGGAAAAAACAGTAGTGAATATATTTTACAATATATTTAACAAAGTATTCACAAATATATGGAAAAAACAGTAGGTGAAGAAACAGTAGTTATATTATATATTTAACTAAGTATAGACAGAATTGGAGTTACCTTGAATCAGAGAATCGGATTGACCGGGAGTCTGGGACTAACCGCAGTCCTCTTCGCTGCTCACCGCAGCAGATTGTGAAGAAACGGAGTACTCAACGGATAGGTGAAGAGGAGTGAGAGGAGCAGACTGTGGTCTGTGGTGCGCCAACTTCAGGCCACTGACCTGGATTTCTACCAGTGAGCGGTGGTGTTCCAGGCCGGCTGGATCGGAGAAGATGAACGGATCTTTGACTCTTCGGAATTAGGGCTATTGTGAATTTGCGATTAGTAATTTAGTACACTGGCTCTTTGGAGTTTGGACGTTGAGTGTATTATGATTTGCACAGTCCTAAGCGAATGCTAAGTACTTTATGCATACCGGTTATTTCCGGTCCAAACCGGATTCTATCCGGTTATTAACCGGACCCGGACCGGTAACCGGTTTCCTGAAATTCCTAAACCGAAAACCGGACCGGATTACATACCGGTCCGGTCCGGATCCGGTTTAACCGGTCCGGTTCCGGTCCGGTTTGCCGGTTTGAGCCGGATCTTGCACAGCCCTAACGGTAGCATTGAACGTCTAAAGGCTCGTCTTGTTATTTTTGGGAACCGTCAGGTTGCTGGTCTCGATTATACGGAGACATTTGCCCCCGTTGCCAAAATGGTGACCGTTCGGGCATTTTTAGCTATTGCTGCATGTAAGAATTGGGAATTGCACCAGATGGATGTTCATAATGCATTTCTGCATGGTGACTTAAATGAGGAAGTCTACATGACTATTCCACCAGGCTATCGCACTCAGGACCCGACTTTGGTCTGCCGTCTTCACAAATCTCTATACGGACTTAAGCAAGCACCCCGATGTTGGTTCGCAAAACTAGTCACGGCTCTTAAAACCTACGGTTTTCTCCAGTCATATGCTGATTATTCCTTGTTTACATTGACTCGTGGAGAAACTCAACTCAACATTTTGGTCTATGTTGATGACCTTCTTATTGCTGGAAATAACAGCGATGCCATTTCTCGGTTCAAATCATATCTTAATTCTTGTTTTCACATGAAGGATTTGGGAAAGCTTAAATACTTTCTTGGCATTGAGGTGGCTCGCAGTTCTACTGGGATTTTCCTTACTCAAAGAAAATATGCTCTGGATATTATCACTGAAACTGGTCTTTTGGGAGCTAAGCCGGCTACATTTCCAATAGAGCAGAATCATGGTCTCGGCCATGCAACAGGGGCACCACTGGCCGATCCCGAACCATATCGGCGGTTGGTTGGTCGCCTTATTTACTTGGCGGTCACTCGTCCTGATATTACTTACTCTGTGCATATCTTGTCCCAATTCATGCAAAAACCCCTGACAGAGCATTGGTCTGCAGCTTTGCGGGTAGTCCGATATCTCAAAGGCTCTCCTGGACAAGGTATTCTCTTACGAGCTGATAGTGATCTTACCCTGGTTGGTTGGTGCGACTCTGACTGGGCCGCATGTCCTGTTACTAGGCGGTCTATTTCTGGTTGGTTAGTGTTTCTTGGACACTCTGCAATTTCTTGGAAAGCCAAGAAACAATCTACAGTCGCCCGCTCATCAGCTGAAGCTGAATATCGCTCTATGGCATCTGCCACATGTGAACTTAAATGGTTGAAAGCGTTACTTTTGAGCTTGGGTATTCACCATCCTCAAGCCATACCGCTCTACTGTGATAGTCAGTCTGCACTTCATATTGCAAATAATCCAGTGTTCCATGAACGAACTAAACATATTGAAGTGGACTGTCATTTTGTCCGTGATGCCGTTCAAGCTCAACTCATTGCACCTCATTATGTTCCTACAACCATGCAACTTGCTGATATTTTCACCAAGGCTCTTGGGAAAACTCAGTTTCACACTCTTTTACGCAAGTTGGGCATTTTAAATCCCCATGCTCCAACTTGAGGGGGGGTATTGGGGCGTTAACTATTTATGGGCAAAAATCAGTTTGTGTATTTGCTTGATTCTTGGACTCTTTATTTTAGGTTTCCTTTGATTTTATTCCTAGATTATAGCCACCGCCTACCAAATGGCAGAGTATGACTCTTGTATAAAAGGTGGAGACACCTTCGATTAACAGAGAATAACAAAACCTATTATTTGATCTTTCTTCTTTGATTTGCTGCGTATATACACAGAAAACAACAGTCATCCCATGAAAAAGATTCAATTGCAGCTTTCGATATATTGTCTATTTGAGCTTTGATAAAGTTGAATTGAACGACCCAATTGCTGCTCTCTATCATCTTCCCTCTTTAATTTGTTCAAACTACTCAAATGAATAACGTGGCTATAGGACTGTTTCATGAAATAGATTTTCAAAATTTAAATGTTTTTAATTAGCTCAAATTTATTGTTGTCTAGTCTGATCTTGTTCAGTTTAAGCGTGGTTTAATTAGAAGCTGTTCTCTTCGCCTGATCTGAATGTTTCTGATCTGAATTTTTTAAGTTCTGATCTGATCTGATCTGAATTTTTCTGATCTGATCTGATCTGATCTGAATCTTTCTGATCTGATCTGATCTGATCTGAATCTTTCTGATCTGATCTGATCTGATCTGAATCTTTCTGATCTGATCTGAATGTTTCTGATCTGGTCTGATCTGATCTGAATGTTTCTGATCTGATCTGAATCCTTCTGATCTGATCTGAATCCTTCTGATCTGATCTGAATCTTTCTGATCTGATCTGATTTGAATATTTCTATGATTATAATTATAATTATAATTATTATAATTGCAATTACAAATATAATTTAAATAAAATTATAATCATAATCGTAACTATAATAATAATAATAATAATAATAATAATTAAAATTAAATTTAAAATGAAAAAATTTATACCTATTACACTAATTATAAATATAGATATAATTATAATTGTAATTATATTTTTAATTATAATTACTTATATAATTATAATTGTAATTATAATTACAATATTTATCTCTATAATTGTAACTATAGTTATCAATATTATTATAATTACTCCGTAAAATTACTCCGTAAAATAATTACAATAGTAATAATAATAATAATAATATTAATAATTATAATAAAAATAATAATTATAATCATAAATTATAATTATAATATAATTATAAGTATAATTATATTTATTATAATTATAATTAATAATAAATATAATTATATTAAAATTAATTATAATATTATAATATAATAATAGTAATATAAATGCAATTAATATTATTATAAAGATATTATTATATTAATATTATTATTAAAATAATATAATAATAATATGATTATTATTATAATTAGTATTATATTATTATAATATTATATTATAATTATAATTATAATCATAATTATAATTATGATTTTAATTATAATTATTATTATTATAATTATAACTAATTATAATTATAGTTATAATTAATTATAGATATAATTATAATAATTATAATTGATTATACTTATAATTATAAGAGTTTTAATTGTAATTATAATTATAATTACATATAATTAAAATATAATATTATAATAACATTAATCATATTATTATTATTATATTGTAATAATAATAATAATAGTCTTCTTAATAATTGCATTTATATTACTATTATTATATTAAAATATTATAACTATTATTAATATCTTATTTTTTTTATCATATTATTATTAATATTATTAATAATAATTATATAATAATAATAATAATAGTAATAACAATATTAATAATAATAATTAATATAATAATAAAAGTGATAAATCATGTTTGAACTTTTCTGATCTGATCTGAATGTTTCTGATCTGATCTGAATGTTTCTGATCTGATCTGAATGTTTCTGATCTGATCTGATCTGAATCTTTCTGGTCTGATCTGAATCTTTCTGATCTGATCTGATCTGATCTGAATCTTTCTGATCTGATCTGATCTGATCTGAATTTTTCTGATCTGATCTGATCTGATCTGAATTTTTCTGATCTGATCTGATCTGATCTGAATAAAATAAGAATAAGTAATAAGTAATAAGAATAAGACGAACAGAACAGCACCTTAGTCAGATCCGGTAGAGGTGCGGTGTATGCGTATTTGTTGACTGCAGAAATCCGGTTTGGTGTGACCTATTTAAATCGAGTAAAGGGTCAGTTTGGTACTCGAACTTGTAAAATAAGTGTAAAATAAGTCCTTATATAGAAGATTATGTCCGGACGTGCCATTTGAGGTGGCTCCCGGTGAAATTTTTTGATATTTTTTTAAGCATCTTATTCATTAAGTCTAGTTTACTCATACCAAATTTCATCTAAACATTCAATCGGGAAAACATTCAAATGAATTCTTGAAGATAACTACGCTTTTAATGGCACAATTATCTTCAAGAATTCATTTCAATGTCTTCCTGATTGAATTTTTATCTGAAATTTGATATGAGTAAACTAGACTTAATGAATAAGATGCTCAAAAATATTCATCAAAATATTCCACCGGGAGCCACCTCAAATGACACTTCCGGACAGAATCTTCTATATAAGGACTTATTTGACTACTTTTTTGCAACTTCGAGGACCAAACTGACCCTTATCCCTATTTAAATCTGATCTGGTATGTTATGGATTGAGCTTTTAAGTCTGAATTGGTTTGATTTGGTCTAATCTAGTCTGTTGATTTGAAAAAGAAGTACTCCGTAATTTCAAGTAAAAACATCTTTTAACGCTTATTAGACTAGAAGTTTTTGTAAATATTAAATGGCCGGAGACCTTACACTTTGTTAACCATTGTAATTGTAATTAGATTTATTTAACCGCCTTAACATTTTGTATATGAATTATTTGTACTAATGAGATCATTATTGTAATTAATACTCCTATTACAGAACATGTTAATATTTAAAGTTCATATACAATCTTAGAACGTTCTTGAATAAAATACTCTTCCCTTATTTTGTAAACAAATTATTTACTTTATTACTATCTCAAAGTAATAATAATTATGTAGTGTAGAAAATATTTAGTTTAATTACTCTTCAATAATATTCTTTTAAGCATTATGATAATTAAAAAGTTATAGAATGAAATATTATTATTACTTTTTAAAGTCTCACACCGGATATTTCTGGAAGAATTAAATACTATATTAAGATCTGAATTACTCTTTCTATCTGGTAGAACTTGACATCTTAACATTACTCGTTATTGTCATTATTATAATCACACTTGTTTTTGTAAGATTCCTTGTTATTGCTATCATTATTATTAACAAACAAAAGAATCTCACATGATAGAGATTGAAATGACATTTGTGTTCGCAGTTTGTCATTAGCAAAATTGCTATTTTTAACTTATATATACTCCATAGTTATTACGGAGTAGTTTAGATACGAGTATTTGTAACGAAATAATACAAAAAGACTCGAGTAAAACCTGGTCAAAATGCAGCATATATTGCAGCATAAAACTGAAAAACTTTGCAGCATAAATTACTTGTACATGCTAACTGTGTGTTCAATTAACTTTTTGAATGACTACAAAGAATACTCTGATCTTCCTATTTTATTAGTTGCAAATATAGGTTTTTCAAGTAGATTAAGAAAGTAGGGATAATAAGTAATGTAGAGAGACTAAAAAGTAGGATAATAAGATTGAGTACTCTCCGTATGAGACAAAAAGATAAAAAACAAGAAAGTAGGGATGATAAAATGACAAAATAAAGTATTCTATATTCTTGTATAATTATCTTTATATTTTCATTTTACGCTCTTCCATAAACAAATACTCCGTATTATGTTACATTTATACGTAATATATTTTATGGTTCATAGTATAAATTTTGCCGACGATATCATGTAGGTTTCATGTTAACAGTAGATCACGAATTTTTTTGGGACAAAGACTAATATTTTTGTTGTATGGTTCATACTATCTCCGTAACATAAAAATCTTCCTACTTTCATTTTTCAATCGTATCTAAATAATCTTCTTATTTCTATATCTTTTCATCATATCCTCAATAATTTTAAAAAGCATACAATATTACATCTGTTTTTTTATTTATTCTTCATTTCATCACTACATTATTTCATTATCTTTCCATCATACTCTTAATAATTTATAACCACTTTCACTATTCATATTCTCACCCACTTTAATTTCAAAGTGGGAAGATCTGAACGTTATGGAGGTAGTATTATGCGTCTCCGTTCTAGAATATTTTTGACCATACAATTTCCATTAGATTGACTATTCATTTCCACGTACTACTATGTCGGGACATCATATAAAAAGTTTGAACTATTTCAACTTAAGTCTTGAAATTACAACTATTACGAGTTTTGACAATGAAAGTAAATGGAATTTCAACTTTGGAATTTGATCACTATATATATAGTTATTGTGATGATGATGATGATGATGATGAATTGATAATGATGATAAGGACATAAGGGATTTTTGTTAACTAGTGATGAGCACAAGAGAGATTTGATGAGCATCCTCTTAGATCAATAATTCATGTGTCATACTCATGGAACAACCTAACAAATTTAGGCATGGGTGCACATGGTATTCCTTGTATTGGTCCCATAGAAACCAAATGCTTCTTTCTTCTTCATGTATGCCTTGTATTCTACGTCTCATTCAGTATTTGTGGTCTGAAATTACTTGGGACTTTAGTTGTTACTTCAACAATGATGTACGAACTTTGGCATCATCATCATTCGTCCTCTGAACTTATTTCCAAGTTGTTTGCTATTGCGTTTGGGAATGTTTTAGTGGCGGTTCCAATTTGATTTGTTTGGCAATTACATCATAGATTCTGATGTAAATTATGAGCGAACATATTCTTGTTGCTTTTCTGTAAGTATTCGTTTTGCATTTCGTGAAAGCTTATTTATTCATGATCATTTTTCTCTCAACCAGTTTAAACTCGTTTGATATCTCAAGTTTATCAACCTTGTCAGTTAACCTTTTCAACACATAATTTTTTATTTTTGCATGCTAAATAAGTAAGGTTAAAGTTATTTTTCTAACCTGAATTAATTCAAGAATCTGCAAATTACAATTTTAGCTATTTTTCATATAATTTTTCATTTTATTAATAAAATATATATTAAATATGATTTTTTCGATAACTTAACATATTTAGTCAATTCAACCAATTTAGTCGGAATTTCATCAATTTCAACGGTTTAGCGGATTCAACTGGTTTAATCAATTGTTTCAACCAATTTCAGTGTTACCAAAAGGCTCTTAATACTAGGTAGGATATGCACTGATAAAACCTACTACATATTTTGAATAGAAAAAATTTCACCAAAAATGTGACCTAATAACTTTTAGTTATAATTACATACAAAGTTTACATCGTAGTAACTACGGATCGGAGTATATGACTTTGAACATAATTATATTACTAATTCACATTTTTATGCATGAATTTTTATTACTAAAAATTTTTATAATTAATATATCGGGAAAACCTCCTTTTATATGTTCATTGGACTTATGGGTGGACCCGGTCCGAAACCGGGTCTGGCATTGTTTCGAACGGAACGAATCCGCTTCTCCGGTCCGGTTAAAAACCGGATACCCAACCGGGTAACCGGCAGGCCCTGTCCCAGGCTTGAGTTTTGGGGACCGAATCAGGCAATTGTCCCGTCCCGACCAATTATTTTTATCTTGACAGCGAAGAAAGATATAACCGGACGGGGACCGGGATCGGACCGCCTGAGTATCCGAAACCGGCACAAACACTGATTTAACCGGGTCAAACCCAGTCTTCCCAGGTCCACCCTTAATTTGACCCATTTGAATATACCGTGAGCTTAAATTCAGTTGTAGACTTGTAGTTCGTAAAACGTAAGCATTAATAACTAACCAATCTTTTAGCGATTTAACATTAAATAAATTGGTTACTTTTAAGAATCATAAGTACTACGTATATTTTTCTAATCTTTTAAAATACCTTTTCTGTTGGTATATTTTTACTAAACAGTATTAAGTTTTATTGTTTTAAAATCATTTTTTTCTCAAAATACTACTGAAAGAGATTAAACTCTTTCTCTAACGTCACATTAAAAAAATTACTTTTTAAAATTAGGATCAAATGCCATTTTGCAAACAACCCTTAATCTTTGATTTCATACACGATTAAATTTTAGTCCTATTTTGTGGGGATTTCAAGCTCACTAAAACCGGACAGTATACAGAAGAGACACACACACACATGGTCAGACATTTGTTGTTCAACTATCCCTCGCCAATTTGCCCAATCCTGGAAATCATCCATCAATGATCAATCTAATGTTTGTTCTACTCGGTGTGCTAAAATCAGAAATAGAATTTCCAAAAGGCCGATATACACTGTCAGTATAAAATAAAATTACATCGGAAATGCTGGTGGATACAATAAATTACACATATAGCTCACAATCAGCAATTCTCTTTATCATCAACACCACTACTGCGATGATTCTCTTTATTTGCTACAGATGAATTAGCATCAGCGTTGTTGACAGCGTTCCTTTCTTTCAACGTGTTGCTAGCGGATAACATGGAAGTGATAGCCCGGGGTAACTTCGATGGAAGATTATGATGATCCGTCGTCACCGTCTTCTCTGTGTCATCTGGTTTGCCTGCAGATTCAGTACAACTTTGGTCTCCAACAGGAACCAATTGAATTAAAGGTTTCTTCACGCCCTTCCGCCATGTCTTTCTGGGCGGTTTTGGCACGTTGGGTTTTACCTGTAGTATTCAAAAAATAGTAAAGGTTGGTAAAGGTTGTTCCTGTCTCTTAAAGTTAGATGTGGTTAAGATAGAAATTAGTTCAAGTAAAGACATCTTAATGTTTTTATCTATTGAGAAAGTGAAACTTTAACTATGACTTTCAAAACAAGACAAGAGGAGGGTAAAAAAGGCTTACACTCCATATTAACAAAAGTACCAAAAAGCTTAGCATGTAATTTACCAGAGTATTTCCGATATCAGAGAGGGGCTTTCTTCTGATAGACTCCGCTGCTGGGTCCTCGTGCTTGGGCTCGGCTGACTTATCAGAGAACGCCGTTTGGAGCAACATGGCACCATGAGAAGCCAAAGTAGTAGAATCCTTCTGTTCACTCTCAGATTCTTCAACCCCACCAACTGCTTGATTCGAAGAAGGCAGTTGCAGTTTTTCATGGTTACTGCACCAACTGGCCCCACATGACACAAGACAGTGCCGTCCTGCGGCACGACACTCGCACCACCTTCGTGCTGTGCATGATGACTTGCGACTGCATGAACAGCACGGCAATGCATTGCCGCCGTCACTACCCTCACCACCCCCACCACCATGTTGCAGTTTATGCCCACCCTCTTCTGACTTTTCATTGTCCGTATCTGATGTGTCCATGTCGTCTTCTTCCAACAGCCCGCCACCATGGGAAATGAACGACCCACGACTTCCCTGCAACAACGCAGTTAAAAAATAAATACGCAATAATCAACTAAAGGAAAAAAAAACAGGGCTGTGTTTGATTACACCATAAATACAGATCAATTTCGACATTTCGTATACCTTTGGTCTGAGGTCATAAATATGACCTCCTTTCCCAATTTCTGAGAGCCTGCACGGTTCAGAACTGGCCTGGTTCTTCGAAAATGCTTTCTGTAACAAATAGGATATGAGTTATCAATCAAAAGAAAATAAAATAATTTCCTGTGTAGCAATTTAATAAAATGACACATTTAGCAGATGGTGACTAACCAACAATTTCTCCAGGCGGATCCTTTCAGTTTTTTGTGATTCTAGCTGTTCAACTAAGCTGACAACTTTTTTCTTCAGATCCCTTATTTCTGAATTTTTCTCTATGCAATCAAATTCTCTATCCCTCATCTGGCATCTGTGGGAGGCAAACATACAATTAAAGAATAACATTAGTTCCAGTCCCTGTAGTAGAAGAACAAGGATGGACTGTCTGCAACTGGGATCCTTCAACTGTAAAAAGAGTTACCTAGAAGATGACAGCAAGTCGTATAAAAAGTTCATTATAACTTTCGATTCAGGGAGAGATTTGACATGGTTCAACCGTTCTCGGACGCTATAAGCTCGTTCCCGTTGTGCACTCTCTTCTGCATCTGATAAGTGTGCTCCCATGGAAATAAGGGCGCTTGATGAAGTGGCAACCATGTTCTCAAGTGCCCGAATTCTTGAACTTATAGCACCAGGAGACATTGTCAGTGGGGAGGAATCGCTGCAAAATGACAATGAAACAAAATATGAGCCCAAAAGTACATGATTAAGCAGGAGTTTTCAAAAGTATATATAATATCTACTAATTGAATTCAGACCTTATATTTGTTTGCTTCAACTCTTCCAACTCCTTGATCATTTTAGTTCGCCTGAAGAAAGTAAAGTCAAGAAAAGGTTGAATATGCATATAAGTTTATTGAAAAATTCGATGGAGCAAATCACAAAACACTAAGAAGCAAGGATAAGGTTCCACAAGTAAAAACTATTAGACCTACTCTTCCGATTGCCGCTCATACTCTGACCGCACTTCATGTACCCTTACCGTGACTTCAAGCTCGTGCTCGATTGCCTGCATCACTGCCTTTAATTGGAAGGGGAGAATTAAATTAGTGAATAGAATTAGGTATATTCTATCAAAGAATCATTTGATAAAAAATATGTTATGGCACTTCACACTCTAAATAATACTAAGAAAAGTAACTACCAACAATGATATCACCACTCAATGAACTAAATAAAATACCTGGCTTCCAGGGACACTATTATTACTGATGCCTGTATAAAGGAGAATGGCAATGAGTTACAAGACTGTTAATAGAGCATGTATAAGGACATTCATGAGGCCAGATTTTACCAGATACATGTGTTCTTTTACGGGATTCTAGCAACTCTTTGAGCCGCCTAGTAGCATTTGCAGCTTCTTCTGTTTTTCGTTGCAACACCTGTGAGCACATGTTCCAAAAACAAGTAAATAAACAAAAATAATGTAAATGGTATCACAAACATGAATGACTTAGCACAAGGATTGGTCATTGTTATTGAATTATTGTAGTTAGCTGCTGTCTACCATCTTTTGCCTCCGATTAAATGCCTGCAGCTTAAGCATCTCGTATTCATTTCTTCTCCCCTCCTTCTTTAGCTGTAGAAATGAAAAAGTACAAGTCATATTCAGTAGAGCTGTAGCAATATAAAAGCACTAATATGAGAATAAAGTGAAAAAGAGAAAATGAAGGAGTGATGATAACATAGAACTACAGTACCTGAAGGACTTCCTTCTCTCGTGATGCTTTCCATGACCTGAATTGCTCAGATTCTTGCTTTATCGTTTGTTGCAATTGAACCTAGAGTAAAAGCAGAAAGTGAATGGTAGGCAATCTCTGTTAATGGTAATCAATACAAGCATCTCTAGACACCATCATTTAGTACCTTTTGAGCCTTAATTCGCTGTATCTCGCTCTGAAGGCGTTTGGCAGCATCATCGCTCTTCTGTTTCTGTCTCAAGATCTGAGATTGGGCATCTTGTTTTTTCTTTAACTCAGCAACCTGAAGAAGTACAGTTTATAAATATTTAACCTCAAAAACTAATATAACACCATAACTCTTGAATTAGCTGAGGGGGAAAAGACCGAGCTCACCTGAGATTCAAGAAAATTCAACTTCTGAATATACTCTTCTTTAAGTTTTTGAGCACTATCATCACTGTTGGATGATAAGTTTGAAAGTATGTGTTTGAGTTTCTCAATTTCTTTCTGAAATAAGAAAGGGAGTTGAACTGTAGTGGCTAAAAACAGAAACAAGCATTTGATTTCACAATAGAAGAAACAGTTTTACCTGCATTGATTTTTTTTCTTGTTCCAACTCATGAACTTTCTTCTCATAATGTTGCTTCAGAACAGAGGTGTCAACAACATCTGTATATCTCTTCATCTCCGCCTTTTATAGATGAGAAAATGTGTATTAATATGAGTGATCAGTGGCATAATTCTTTCTAAATATCCAGTAATGATACAAACATCTTATAATTACTACCCAACACAGGCAAACCCACTAATCTGGAAAACCCCATTTAAAACATATTGACACCCACTAGAGTTCCCTTGATACTTTAGTGTATTAACTTGAGAAAAGGAGATAAACATCAAGAAATGTTAGATAAGTGAAAACCTGGTCAGTATTCAACCAAACAGGTTAGCAGGGGATACGTGCAAATACCTCTTTTTGTTCAAGCCTTTTGTCCAGTTCTTTGAGTTCCCTATCAAGCTGTTCTTGAAGAGAAGAATGTTCCAACTCTTTCTCCTCAACTTCTGCTCCACCTTCAAGGGCACATGTTATAATACTTTAGTTTTTCCTTTTATTTTTAGTTGGGGGGTGGGGGCAAGCAAAAATGAAATTATCTGGCACTGCATGTGTTGCTTATATGTGTCGTATAAAAGAGGGGGAAATTAGTTTTTGCGCCACACGCTTCCATCAAAACTAGATCTTGCATCCCATGGTTAATAGTCGATGAGCAGGGTGCTATGTAAACATGAGGTGCAGAAGTAAAATTTCTGAATTTGTTGGCTGTGATAAATGACTGGCTATAGTCTCAACATTCTAACAAAAAACGTTGCCGTGGGGTGCTGCACAAAGAGATTTTATAACAAACATGGGATGCAGAAATAAACGTTGATCCAATTATAGGTGATAATTCTACAAATCATTGATGGTACTCAAAACAAAATTCAATACCAAAACACATCCACAAAGTTATGTGCAACAGACTCACAATCTCACATACCATTCAATTCTTTGATTCCCATGTCAGACTCAGACTCGGCAGAAGCTGACCCTTTCGAGTGAGACTCGTCATCCAATCCAAGATAGTCATCAGAAACAGTATGTCTAGAATGGTTTAATCTCCTCATACGCTGTAAATCTCCTTCTAATTCTTGAATTTTGGAGGCATACTTCTTCATCATGTCAAAATTCTAGTCGAAAGAAACCAAGACATTTGATTAAATGCATTTCCAGATATAAAAAAGAAAGAAAATTACCAACCCAGAGGCGCAATATTTGCCAAAGCAGTAAAGGAGCTAAACCTGTTCAAAATTTGGGTCAGCATTACCCAACTGGTTACCTAGGCCAGCTTGTTCAAGCTTCATCATGAACATATCCCTTTCAACCTATTACAGTAACTCCTTGTAAGATGGTCTTATAGGTTGAAACCCAGATCAAATTGAGCAGTAAACACTAAAAGAAGCTGGTTTAAACTATGAACCTGGCATTCCAAAAGTTCTTGTTGTAAGGCCGCATAGCTTGATTCCAACAAGGATATCTTGTGCTTGAGAATCTTCAAATCAAAATCAGTATATTAATACAGAGAAGACTAGAAAGAGTTTATAGCAAGGTAAAACATCTTGAATGAGAATTTATAATTATTAACCTATAAGAAATAAGAACTATAAAAAACTTGAAGAAGTGTGTATTTAAGCTAAAGCCTTTTAAGTCTACTGATTCTCATAATGTCCAAATTTTTGTTTTTTAAACTTTTACATTCAACTACAGCTGAGTTACTCACAGAGTCTCTTTAGCGTCAAGTACTAGCCGAATAACTAAGGTTTTTTAATCAGACGGTCTAGGTAACTAGGTACACAACTCTTTCTGATCTAGGAGGGTCTAGTAGAAAATAATCAGCAGGTATGACTATTATATTAGGGGTGGGCATGGTCCGTGAATTAAAAAATATATTACTAACGGAATGTAATGAAAACAAAAAATGCTGTACAAATATTTCTGAGTTCACTCAAACAAAACCTGAAATAAAAACACCTCAAGTATAGTGATTTTACCTACCAAAGTAAATATACTAGTAAGCTGAATTGTGAAATGTGAATTATGTTATTAGTGATTAGTAGACTTCCTGCAGGCCTAATTGATCTAGACTAATAAAACATAAAAGCTTATAAAAATAAGTAAATATGGATAGGTTAATATCACAAAAGTAATAGGATTTAATAATAAATATAAAATTAGAAAAGTATGTATTATTAAAGTGTCGAGTTCAGGATAATTGGCATATCTAACGCATATGCCGAACCCGTTAGACTGGTTTGGGATAGGTTTGGCATGAAAAAAGAACACACTGTTTGAGAATACTCCATGAGTTTAGATAGGCACAGTAGCCTGCCTCTTTGGGCACTTCTGCCCTCTCCTAGACTAAATAACATAGACTAAATATGAACAGAAATACGGACTAGATGTTTACTTGTAGTTCTTCAGATGGCACGTTGGAATCTCCACGTAAGCAAAGAAGCTCAGCCTGCAATTGCTGAATCTCACTCTTCATTTTTTGCATCTGAGCAGCCGCAGGGTCCCGATTAACCTACCATTTTAACAAAATGAGACCCAAATAAACATGTATTTGTGGTATACATAAAAGTTATAGCGAACTGAAACTTACAATTGCTTTGTTCTGAATGTTACGAGCCCGATTGGCATACTTCAATGTATTGATAGTTTCCTCTGTATTAGTGTCCGCAGGACTTACGCAAGCTTCCAAAAAAAACCACAGCAACAATAACAACAAACTTTAAAATGGTTCAGATATGTGGATCATTAAAAACTAAAATTTTGCACTCAACATACCAATCATAACAGTTCTACTGTTTCCACCAAGGGAATCCTGAAAACAAAAAAAATCACAAATTAGCCTGAATCGTACCTTCCACATTTAACAAGCGTGCACGAAAACAGTGGTGCAACACAACATCGTATTATTATGTTGCTTACTCTAACAAAAAAAAATCATGCTTTAAAGTGATCATCTCCAGACCAGGATGAAAGTGGTTCATCTAGCCTAATGTGTTCATTACTTCATTTTTGTGTTATAAAAAAGCATGTGTTCAAAAATACCTAATTGACTAATTCAGCTAGCTTAATGTTCATTTTGGGTTTAAAAAAAAACATGTGTTCAAAAAATACCCTAATGCCAACATTAAAATAAAAAGAATATAATATCTCTTACTTGTAAAAGACGGGTCAGCTTGCTGTCCCTGTATGGAATGTGAGCACATTCTTTTCGTTTTTTGTCATCACCTAGGGCACTAATTACATTTCCCAAAGCAAGTAGCCCTTTGTTGATATGGATTCCTACATCACATGAAAACTATAATATAAATGTTTTGTCAATTTAAAACAACAATACATAAGATTCAAAATGACAAATGGAGCATTAAAGAAAACCAGTTGTGGTAGATCATATAAGCAACAAATGTTTACATAATTAGCAATCCATTAATTTAAAAAAATACAAATACACACATTTCCTGTAAGAGTTTATCACCTTCCTGTAAACGGATTCCATCTGCTCCAGTTCGCTTGGCCCTCTCAGAACCAGCAAGGTCAACTAAGTGAAGTTTTGCACACAAAATATCATCACCACTAGCATCATCAGGTGCTCCTTGACTTGAGTTATTACATATTCTCTTTTGTACCATGTGGATGGTAAAAATTGCATGTGAGCGACTGCATGCAATAAGACATTCAAAGTAATTTTGCAAACTGTTTTATTAATGCTCTACATAAATGTTTTTACGAGCATTACATTGTTGCATATCTTATCCATTGATATTTCATAATGCATTTATATGATTGGAGAAATACAATGCGGGTTTTTGTGGTAGTGTGAGCTTCATACTGAATGTGTATTGAGAGAAACAAAATAAAGAAATAATAGCAGACAGGATTTGCAATCTCATAGACCATGTTCAACTTTCCTCTGCATAGAAGTTACCATCTCATATAGTTATATCAGTAGGTGACAACAAGTAAAACCATTAAATAGACCTGTCATTTGAATTTGAATTATTAGATATGAGAATAACAAGCACACAAATTTTGAGGAAGCATAGAAGTATTTCCCCTAAATTAACAACTTTAATCTTCTACTTTGGTGTTTGCAGCCAAAACTGACTCATTTTATCCAAATAAGAAAAGGCATTGCACTAACCATAAGTGCTTAGCAAGTTACTCGTAATTGTGAGGTGCTAAGGTAAATTGTATCCAAAAAGGAGAAAGGTTAACGCACTAACCATTAAAATCATAATTACATTCTAAATCGCGAACATGATAAGGTGAACAGAAGATAATACCTTGACTGGCTATTCATGTTTGTGCTTGCTGTGGCACGAGACACAGCCCCTCTTAAAAGGTAAGAAGCCATCTCTTCTTTTGTTTTGACTTCTGCTTCGGTAACACCAGCAAGTGCAATCCCCCCAACAGCAGTTTCTCTAATATGAATGGGAGCTCTGGCGTGCACTGCAACCCTTGCCTGTGATGCCCCTTCACCTTTGCAGGGTGCTGGTGTGTTTTGATCTAGCAAATCAAAAACCTCCTCTTTAAAGATCTGCAAAATCACAGGTTCAAAGGAAGTGAGTGCATCACCATATCAGTTTATATACAAGAAATGATTTCCTTATTCAATCACTACAAATCATGCCCCTTACCTCAATAAAAGAAACCCTAATTAGACACTCCATTGAATCCTTCAGTTCATTCACCCTAGAGAATATGGTTTCCATAACTCTAGGTATGACTCCTTCACTGTGGTCTGATCCATTATAGTTTGTTCCCATTGTATAGGTCTTCCCGGAACCTGTCTGTTGGCCATAAATACATAAAAGCACTTCAGCTTAAATCTAATAATAGTACACACAGCTTAGTATCACCAAATTAAGGAGAATATTGTACCTGTCCATACGCAAGTACTGTGCCATTATATCCTTGAAACAATGACTCAACTAGGGTGAGAACACAGTCGTCAAATATACGGGATGATGGGCAACCCGCACCTCCAAAAACATGATCGAATGTGAATGTATGAGACCCAATCAGGACCTGTAAAATAATCAAAAAACTGTAAGATTTACACGACCTTAAATTCCAGAGTGATACAGTTAGCTTATTATTCTTAAACCTATCTGTTTATATGCATCACAATCAGTGAGGGAGATCAAGTCTATTTCAAACCTCACTGTTTTAGATCTAAGATTGCAAAGCTCTTGTGGAATTAAAGTGCCTCAGCAATTTAGCATACCTGTTTTTCGGCAGGCAGTACGGTCATGCAATCAGTGCAGCCAAGGAGAAGCTCCGCAGTAAGCAGCGGCCTGATGTTCACAGCCACTCTGACGGACTGGGAAGCATCCTTGGAATCCGAATTCTCCATCTCGCTTCGTCGGCAACCAAAACTCTAACCGCAAAAAACGTCCAAATCCAGTGTACGTATGCGAGCTGTTTGAAATCCAATCGGCGGAGGAAGGAAATGTGGTTGCCGTTGAAATGTTGTGGGAGGGCAGGTGAGGGGGGGGAATGGAGACCGTTTGAATTTGAATAAATGCAGAAAAGCATCACAGCAATTTAATTATAGGGAAGGGGATTCGCTCTGCGTCCAAATTCAAATTTTTGAGACGATTGGTCCGCGACAAAAGCTTTGGCGATACAAGGCTTGCCGAACCTAATAATCGCATGGTCTCTACAGCTCATCCAAACACACCTTAACTATTTTTTTCTTCAGTTTCTTGGTGAATTCAAGGGAATACTTGAGAATATTTTTTTAATGGAGGGAATACTTGAGATTAACATTTAAAAAACTTATTTTACATTTTTACTCCCTCATAAGAATATAACTCGCAAAAAAGAAATTCTTAGTTGAGAAAATGACAATTGAAACTAAATTTGCACTTATATTTCAAATCATGTCGGATAACTGTAATTAGTCGTGTCAAATAACCGTCATCAATCAAGTAATTGTAACTAGTCCCCATTATTGTGTGGTTTAGATGGGTTGAATAAATATGTAATAATCCTTATAACATTTTAAGTCACATTTTTCAATCTCTCATTCTGGACACAATATGTTATTCATAAATGGTTAAATGATTTTTTATAATACTTACATTTATAAAATATCTGGTAGCAAAAACATTGTATAGAATAATCATCACAATTATTACTTATTCCTGAATAATGCGCAAATAAATTATAAGATGATATAGGACTTCTATTAGTACAAGCTCAACTTCAAAAAACTTGCCTACTATCCACATCCAAACAAATGTCAGTTTTGCAATAATAAGGGGACCAAATATGAGTAACTTTGATGTTCTAAACCACATGTGGTTCAATGTGGTTCAATGTATATTTGAATTTTAATTCGCACACTGCATATGAGCCCAATTAATATCAAGTGAGCATAGGTTTGAATATAGATAAAAATCCTAACTTTACAGCTAATAATTTCAGACCAAATGATTTAAATAATATATAAAAAGATATCTACTGAACTTTGAGATGAATTTCTCAATAATTCTGCCCATTTAATTAAAGAGAGTAAATTTGAATTTTAGCATCTCCATATAAGATAGAGTACTCTATTTGAAATGATGTAAAGTACATTTCCATACCCTTAAACTAATGGAGCTCAGTAATATAATGGGAGATGACAGAACAACTTATTCAAGTGGAAGTAAAAGTTTTCAAACCAAGCCTAAACAAAACTCAAAATTGCCCAAAAGTAGAAAGGTTGGCCTTTGCAAGTTCTAAACTGATCATCCTACTTTCTTGGTTGAATTTTGTGCACTGAGGTCGATTACATCAAGATCTGATAGTCTTTTCGAAGAGGTAGCTCTTTCAATGCGGTTCTCTTGACATAGAAAGGGTTTTTTCTTATTGAAAAATGAGTGTACCTATTATGAATGCCTGATACGGAATGATTTATAATATTCACAGCATGATGGTGGCAAATGTGGTTGCTTCCATGCTATTGTTGGAGGTAAATTTCAATCTATAATGAATGGTGAGTGCATTAGATGACTTTGTTAAGTATGTGTGATAATTCAAATGAGATCGAAAAACGCTTATGTAGTTTTTAATTAAACTTGCCTACTATCCACATCTAAACACAAAAGATTTTCTGCTGAAATTGACTTTGAAAGGGCATTGGGATGGACGCAATGCTGTACACCTTTATTTTCATCTTCATTCCCAACTATAGAGATAATAGTATGCATGACATTGCAATTTTATTTATTAGTTGTTATATAAATGACACGTGAAACTACCAGATGAATGTATTTTTCCAAGAAAGTGCGATCCTTGTGAGAATAAATACGGACCTGAAGTGCTTATATCTGGTTGGGATCTTTTAGATCTCAAAACACTAAGCCTGTGATGTCGTGCATATGCAATAGCTTGAGGGCACTTGATGGAGTCAAAATCCATCATACCTGAAACCTGAGTTCAAAGCCTAAAGGCCTAAGCAGAGTATACTTCGGTGAGTTCTTAATTATGACTACATAGTTATATGTATGAACTTGCAGTTGAACTGTTCATGTAGGGAATTCCAAAAGCGCGCAGTGAAAATATGAAAGGTTTTCAAACTGTTTCGTTTAATATGAAGCACTTCCACTTAATTATAAGAGGATTTGTAATTGAAAACACCGATCCATCTGGTATGAAAACCAATAGTACGTTGGCTAAGAATATCAGAAGTTGAAACATTTTTTTTCCAGAATTAATCAATTTCTTTAGAAATTGAAATTAATGTGACATAGTTATAAAAAATTCATTAACAATTAAATGACTGTGGAAAACATCTCATTGGATGTCAGATTTATATCTATAACTTGTTTTTACCAAAACAAGCTCTAAGTTGGTCTAAATAGTTGGAGAATCACACAAATTTTAGGGGAAGCAAAAGTTTCAAACCAAGTGTTGCCAAATTTTGAAACTGGTTGAAAATAGAAATGTCGGTCCCTACAAGGGTTTAACTCTTCTAGCTAGCTTTTTGGTTCAATTTTGTGCAGTGAGGTCGATTATCGGTCGTTATCAAAACAACGCTAACATTTGTGTAGTACAATGTTGAATGCATCCATTCCGGGTGCTATAGTAAATAAGGGTGTGTGAACAACCGCCATTGCAAAGGAGGACTAGGCAAGTTTATGAAAAGTACTGGTAATAGTGTGTCAATTAGATTATTTATATCAGAAGCTAAAAGGGATTTGTGTCATAATTGTAAATGCATATATAATCATAGCCTTACGTTTGCACCCCAAATGTTTAGTGTGTCAGACTGTTAGTGTATATGTGAATAACTACTGGGAGCAGTTTTGGAAAGGCAACAGACTCCTACTTATATGTACATAATTGCTCATAAATGTTTTGGACACATGAGATTAGTGTACTTTGCCTTTCTACGTATGATTTTTTTATGTAGCCTATGCCGCACATGTAATTGATGGATTTATGATGGTGCCACCTGTCTATTCATCCAAGAGTTTCCTTCACAACTGCAAATCCACATTACAATGTTACATTTACATCCTAATGTTAGTTTAAATGTGTTAATACCTTTTCATTTGTGAAGTTGATGTAACTGGCAGAGATATTAATATGGTATGAATATGCCGGATGTCAATTTTTGCTACGTAGGATCTCCCTGCCAAATACATCATTCATATATATTATTATTATAGTGCCACATGTCAATTTTTGCTTCAAAGGGGATGCCACATGTCAAATTTTTCTTCACAAATTTCTCCCAAGGTTTCCTTTCCACATCTCCAAATGAAATAGACTACCTCAATAATTTTTTCCAATTCAACTTGAAAATCGTTACTTATTTTAACTGGCTATAGAACTCACCATGCAATGTCAAAAAATTTAAGTTGAGTTTAAAAAATGAATACAAGCCTTTGACGATGCTAACCCTCACAAAATAAGAAGTGTATCTCAAATTCACATTTTTAAATAGGCTAAAGGGTCAAATAGGTACATGAACTGACCTAAAGTGTTCAATTAGCCCCTTATATAGGAGTTTCTGCCCGGACGTCGCCAATTGGGGCGGTTCCCGGTGGAATTTTTTGATGAATTTTTTTGAGCATCTTCTTCATTAAGTCTAGTGTACCCAGACCAAATTTCAGCTAAAAATTCAACCAGGAAGGCAGTCGAATGATTTTCTGAAAAATTAAACAGCGCAATACATTTCGGAAAATAATTCGACTGCCTTCCCGGTTGAATTTTTAGCTGAAATTTGGTATGGGTAAACTAGACTTAATGAAGAAGATGCTCAAAACATTTCATCAAAAAAATCCACCGGGAACCGACCCAATTGGCGACGTCCGGGCAGAAACTCCTTTATAAGGGGTTAATTGAACACTTTAAGTTAGTTCATGTACCTATTTGACCCTTTAGCCTTTTAAATATAATAGAGTGATGGGTACGATAATAAAGTCATAAAAGTAGTTCATTCATTCTAATTCGTTTATAAAATGACCATTTTTCACACCAAGTCAAAAATAAAATATCTTACAAAATCGATCGGAAAAATTGATATATTTCATTTGCGCGTAAAATTAACACCAGCATGCATACGAAATGGATCGGAAAAGGTGATAATTTCACGTTCACTCTTTTTTTTCGATTTATACCGTACATACAAGCAAATAAAATTCTTGTGCGATGCACGGATACACATACTAGTTACTAATAAATGAATCACTTTTAATAAAATCATGTTCATTTATTATCCATGCAATACCGGGTCAAATGACTAGTAGGAAGTACGGGTGTTCCTAGTTCGAAATCGAACCGCCGGTTTGTGATTCCAAAATTTAGCGAATCACACTGTACCGGTTCTAAAACCGGCATTTCGTTCCAATCCGGTTCGATTCCGGATCAATTTTCCGGTTCCAAAATTTTAAGATATTAAGGTTTAGTATTTTCAAATAATTAAATAAAAGAGTTTCCAAAAAATATTACAAGAACAAATATATCTCATTGTTTTTTACTAGAAAGCGCTTATATTAAAACTCAAAAATCAAATAACCAAGCACCCATTATTCTGACTACCCAAGCATTTCCTTATGACTTCTTATATTCAATAGGCTCTCCCACCCTCCGATCAAGCATAGAACAGATTGTCCAATAATGAGCAAGAGTAATCGCTTAACATGCGAGAGATTCAAATTTATTACCGAGCAAACAAGCTGATTGCTTCCTCCCGAACAAAATACTATAACCACAAAACAGAAATTATAGTGTTTGACCTCAGACACAACAAAAGAAATAAAGGCAGAGTACTTATTTAACTAAAAATTAAAATTAATTCGGATGAAACTAGATAACGTAAAACAAACTTGACATGTTGTCTTCATCCAAACCTAGATTCTCCGTCATTCCATGATGTCGGTTCAGAAGGGGGGGAACCAATAGCACATCACTTTTTTAGGCAAACCACCGAAATCATTGGGGCAAATGCCGGGGAACATTTGCCGAGTTTATCAAAATAGAAGAGAGATACAAGAGAAGAGGGGGGATCAAATCAAAACCTCTTCATAAAGGGCATACCCTTTCCAAATACAAAGAGAAGCAATCGCAAAAAAGTAAACGAGATAATTGGGGGGACCAAACC